GGCCATTTCTCCAGGAAAAGTAAATGTTAGGTTCTGACTATATCCCGTTTCCTCCATTTGCCATTGACAGTGTCATACAACCACACTATTCTGGGCCCTGCTTTCACAGGCAGTTTCTGGCACCTTTGGCCCAGTATTGCTGGATGCTAATTTCTTCTAGAAAACATGCAAGGTCCAGTTGGTATGGATAGTTTTCCAGCTGGGAAATTCACCGATTTACAGAGATGGTGTGAAATAATAGCGGTCTGCAAGGGGACTTTACTGCACATATTGATGTTTAAGATGTTAAAATACTTCTCTTGAGCATTGGAAATGAGTTGTTAACTAAGGTCCCTCAGACAGAGCTACCACAGCTAAAGTTTTTGTGATACATCTTGTCTCACTATTTATCACTATCAAGTTACAAATGTCCTTTCTCATTGTAGCCTCAGAGCTGGTTACAGTGAGCTTTTTCTTTTTTTTTTTTTTTTTCCCTAGGGTACTAAATCTACCATCACTACATTAATAGATTTCTAAGTTGTATAATTATCCTAGAGGTAGTTAAATATAGTTATCTGTGGGAAAATATACATACCTTCCTACTGTATATAGCAATATAACTGCTATATATTATTACCGTGCCTATGCTGACTATAATTCGATAAATATTTAATGTCACCTTAGAGAGCACCCTTCATGAATAAATAATTCAAGACCTACTGCATATTTTCTTCCTGTAGCAAAAGCAAGGAAGGAAGCACTTTTTGTCTTTAGGAGTATTAACACCGATAGGAATCTATGGTATGGGTTAGCTTCCCAAATACAGCTGTTGCCATTCATTTTTATCATTTTTATATGTCCTCAAAGAGCAAATATTGAAGAGGGTATCCCAGAAGCTGAACTTAGATCAAAGCATGCTATATTTTGAACTTGCACTCTGCATCACACCTCTTTTCCTTATCCTTTTTTTCTTCTTCATTTTCCTCTTTTTAACTGAGCTTTCTATACATTTTTATACCTAGAGTTATGTATAGAAAAATGTAAATCCAATTAAAAATCTGTGCATTTTATTTTTCTGGTAGAGTACATGCTTGTGTCAGGGTCCTCAAGCCCTGAGTGAAATGGGATGATAAATCTTTTAAATCCTCTGATGAAGACACACAAGGCACATCAATTCTTGATGTAGCATAAGAAGAAGAAGAGGCAAAAAATGACAACACCAATATAGTAAATCATTCAGAAGGCTGTTGTGCCCTAGGCCTTGGCAACTGAACTCTGCTGTTTTGTTAGCTCCTGTTTGATCTGAAAATTACTTTAGATTAATTGCTGTTTGAACAGGCCCTGCTTAGGGAAAAATGTGATGGGAAGCAGATGGGAACTTGAAAAATCTGCATGTACGTGCAGATTCGTGTATTCATGTGACACTTTGATGACTTTTTAGCATGAAAACTGAAGGAGTGTAAGAAAATTTCTGGAACTGATCAATTGTGATCCACAGTTTTATTCCCTAACTGGCCTTCATCAGACCAGGCAGGCACAGGTTAGGTTGCCTAGGCAGCCTTAAATTTGACACCTTGTGACTCATGAGAGCTTGGCAGCATTGCTAGTGTTGTGGGGATGTAGCAATTTGCATTTAGTTAGAGGCGGAAAATCAGACAAATGGCACAGTCTTGATTTTTTTCTTTTAATCCAGTAGATTTCCCAAAATATATTTCTCTATAATCAAGGATTTCTGAGTCAGAGAATCTGAGTCTGTAATCTGGTTTACAATCGAAGGACTTTTACTATAACCCTGATCAGGAGTTGAACTCCTGAGAGATACCAGCTAGAGTTACTCAAGCAGATCAAGGCATGTGTACATTATGCAATGCTGAATTGTTTTCATGTATTCAAATATAGCCAATATAGCTTTAAGCTACCTTAATTTTCATAAGAATTTTCTAAAATCATTTATCCTAATTGGGGTGTGTGGACTCAAGAATCTTCAGATCTGGACTGTCATGTAAATGAGATTGATGTATGCATAATTATGTAAAATGCTTACATCAAAAGTGCGGATGGTGTAAAAACTACTTTAGGCAATCAAACTCGTAGTACATAGGGCTGTTAAAGACAAAACCTTTGCTAGAAAGAAATGCAATTTGCAGTGCAAACCTTCTGCTAGAAGGAAGTGCAGTTACATGAAATTCCTGTGGTTTATCATAGTAATTCCAGCTGAAGAGTGAGAGAAGGTCTGTGCCTAAAAATGAATCTTTGGGGCTTTATATTATGTTTAGGAACATAGCTTTAGTTTATGTTTAGCTTTAGTTTATGTTTAGGAACATCCCATTAAGGTCTTATTCCCTGAAGGGTTGGTGCATCCCTGGGCTTCTCCTTTGCCAAGCAAGTTTTAATTAGCCATCTATAGAGGAAAAGGCAGTAGTGTTCACCTGCAATGGCCCTTCTGTTTTATGCTTTCCATAGTCAGTTTTTGTCTTTTAATAATTTCTTTCCACTTCTTGTTCACCTTACTGAGCGAACCAAATCGAAGTGAATTAAGTAAGACTATGTGCAATAAACAATGCACTCTCTGGAAGAAAAATGAAGAAAAATAGTCTTTTCATTACGAATGATCAGTTTAATTTCCTTGTTCGCGATTTTTAGCTGTGGAGTAGTCCTGTGGGTGAAGTGGTGGATGTGTATCTTCAGTGCTAAAGCCTAGGTAGGAAACTCCTTCTGAAGAATGGAGGGATGCCCTTGACAATGTGATAATAGTTGAGGAAAACAACTTAAATTTTAAGCTTATATAAAGCAGAGTTAGTCTCTATAGAGACATTTCATTTTCAGTTCAATAATAGCTCTAGCTTCCCTAAACAGAACTAAACAATTCCAAGCAAAACAAGAGTATCCCTGTAAAACTCTGCATTATTCTAATTGAAATGTTTTTTAAAATGAACCTTAAATTAAAAACAACCTGGAGAAGATGAAGATGTTGTTGTTTCTACAGATAATATTTCAGAAGAGTCTCACATTCTTCATTTGCTTTGCTTCCAAAAATGTTGTTTGTATTTGTGACATCATAAGCCAAACACTAAAATGTGTGAAGTTGTGCTCTGAAGCTTACCACCAGTAATCTATGAGCAAGGAGTATGAAAATTATGCAGCCACCTCTGAAAATCTACACATGCTTCTGGATAGGCTCTTTTTTTCCCCCTAAATTTGCTTCAAATGGAGTTAGAACCTTTTCCAACATTTCTGCATAAAATATTTGGAAATACGATTTTATTTGTATGCCTCTGTTTTCTTTTCTTTCTCTCTTGAGCACATCTTGTAACCTGAACACTTCCCTTCCTTTCTCTCTCTTTTTTCCTTTTTTTTTTTAGGTATTTTTCTCTTTTTCCTTTCCTAAATGAAATCTCTGGCATTGACTGCCTGCCCTAAAATAAGGAGGTGGCTTTCTTTTTGTCGTGTTCATCTCTGCAGTGCTCTTCTGCAGGCAACGTTACTTGAAGCATTAATGTTACTTGAAACTTTATATACCAAAAACTTAACAATATATTCTTAAATGCTAACTATTGTTTTTGAGTGTGGTTTGTTTATGGTAAGACTGAGGTTGTTGAAAGGGCAGTGCTTATTTATTGAATTGTTGTGTTATTTTTATAATTTTGAGGTGTTTTGTTGAAAAATTAAATCCATTTCCCACCAAATGCTATGTGCTAGTCCCATTACACAGCAGAATGTAGCTTCTGTTCATATGAAAGTGTTGGTACAGAGTTTTGGATGAATTTCTTGTAATGGTACTGTTTCTGAAAAGCTCCCTCTTGTGAGAGGGGTGAGAGGATTTGTTTCTTGACCCATGATTCATTCTTGCATGTGTTGTATTTCAACTTAGAAACAGTGATGCTGCGTTATCTATCTCACCAAGTTCACTCATGACTTCTGTTTCCCACCATTAATCAATTATTCGATTCCACTGAAATATTTTAGCCTTGAGCCTGCACCCTTTTTGCAGCAAAGGCAGCACCAGTTGGACAGCTTTCAATGATTTTTTTTTTTGAACTGGAGATGAAGAATTAAGAGCCCTGTCTGGTATTCATGTTTTTCATTAGAAGTGTACTGTAGTTATCCAATTATATTTTAGGAAAGAGGAGGAATAATAGCAATGAGAACAAAAGTCAAAAGAATGCACACGACATCTTCCTACAAAACAAAAACTGTCATAACCTATGCAGAGAGTTGTAATGTAAGAAAACTAACTTAGAGGAAGGACTGGGTTAATTTCACTTAATGTTTGCCATCTTTGACATTGTCTACTTTAAATATAAAATTTGGACTTAATAACCAATAAAAAGTGACAGAAAAGTGATTTCTCTCTTAGGAGTAGACAACTTGTCCCAGATAGAGTCTATATGATGAGTTCTGAGTAGATCTCTATTTTCTTCAAGGATAACTTGATGAGAGATCTCAGCCATCTGGCAAGTTGAGAAACTTATATGAAAATTGTTTGTTATGATGATTTTTTCTTGTCCTTCTGAAGTGTCTGTAGTCACAGGGACACAGCTGAGTACAAATTGACAAAGTAACCACAGTCAATGTGACAGGATTTATGGATTCCTCTGAAATTCTGTGTTATTTTGCTCCTAATTTAGACCTGAACCTGTGCTGTTATCTTTACTCATCTTCTGTTTAGGCTGAAATTCTACACCAGCACTTTCATAGGTGGAACTTCAGTGACTTCCTCAGAAGAAAAAGATTTTTTTTTCTGTTGTTGTCAGTTTCTTGTTCAATTGTTTGCTGATTTCTCATAATAATAATAAAAAAGTGTATACTATTTCTATTAGAAAGAAAATAGTAAGTATGTTTCAGAGTATATGGGTAGTAAGTATATATCAGGACATCAGAGGAAAGTGTTTAATAACGTTTGCTGCTTGGGAAGGGATGGAAATGGATTAGTGGCACTGATTTATGCAGCCTAAGCTATCGCCAGGAAGCCTCGCCTCTCAAAATGTCTACATTTATATAATGGTAATCCTTTCTTTTAGGAAAGTTCAAGGAGAGGGCCTCAATTCTTCATAAGATTGCCAAAAAGAAGTGCCAGGTGGAAGATGGCGAGAGGCGGAACGGACCTGCTAGTCACGGTGAGCACCCCAGCACAGACCCACCACGAGTCCCTCAGGGCTCATTCACTCTCCTATTTTGCTTGAAAATACTTAGAGCCAAATTTCCCTCTCTACTTTATTTGAGATAAGCTAGTAATAACTATTCTATTTACCTATATGAAAAAGCAGAAAACACAGGGAGAGGGCT